ACCACTGTCCCTCCTGTGGACAAGTCCACACCACTGTCCCTCCTCTGGACATGTCCAAACCACTGTCCCTCTTGTGGACACATCCAAACCACTGTCCCTCCTCTGGACACATCCAAACCACTGTCCCTCCTCTGGACATGTCCAAACCATCTCAGTGTGTCCTCTCTAACTTTATCTCCCAGGTGTTCAGCCTGTGCTGTACCTCTGATGATCTCATTCCTGGTCTTCTCCATCCTTGTCTCTCCTAAGGAGAACCTCAACATCTTCATTTCTGACACTTCCAGTTCTGTCTCCTGTCTTTTTGTCCATGTCTCTGTCTCTAAAGCATACAACATAGCTAGTCTCATCACTGTCTTGTAAACTTTTCCTTTGACCTTTCACCTTTGCTGACACCATTTTTGTCACAAATCACTCCTGGAACTTTTCTCCATCACTCCATCCTGCCTGGACTCTCTTCTTCACCTCTTCACCACACTCCCCATGTTCCTGGACAGTGGACCCCAAGTCCTTGAAGTCCTGCACCTTTGTGACCTCTGATCCTTGTAGCCTCACTGTTCCACCTCCTCCCTCTCATTCACACACATGGACTCTGTCTTACTACGGCTGACTTTCATTCCTCTTCTTTCAAGTGCATACCTCCACCTCTCCAAGCTCTCTTCCACCTGTTCCCTGTTCTCACCACAGATCAGAGATTTATTATTTTCATTTACAAACTGGAATCTATCAGATAGATATGATTTAAACCACTTTAGAGCTGTTCCTGTAATCCCAATATCATATTCAAGCCTCTGTAGTAAAATATTGTGATCAACTGTATCAAATGCAGCACTGAGGTCTAACAGGACCAGTAGAGACACAAGTCCATTGTCTGAGGCCATGAGAATATCATTAGTGACTTTTACTAGTGCTGTTTCTGTGCTATGATGAGCTCTAAACTCTGACTGAAACTCTTCAGATTATTTCTTTGTAGATGTTCACGCAACTGACCTGCAACTAGTTTCTCTAGAATTTTTGAGATGAAGTTGGCCAGAATTTCTGAATCAAGGTCAGACTTCTTAAGTAAAGGTTTAATTACAGCAACCTTAAAGCTCTGTGGTACATAACCATCCATTAAAGACAAATTAAGTAGATCCAAAATGTGGACATTAATTAGTGGAAATACCTCTTTAAACAGTCTGGTTGGGATGGGATCTAGCAGACATGTGGATGGTTTGGATGAGGTTATTATTTTTTGACAATTCAGAGCTCAACAGGACAAAAACTGTCCAAACATAAATCAGGCTCTAGTGAAATTTTTAAAGTTGCCTCATTTGACACAGATCCAGAGGCGATAAACACGCAATAGCACTAAACACAACCTCACAGATTTAATTAATGATTAAATAAATTTCCTGATGCATGCTCAATAATTCAGGTAGAAAAATCCAAAAAAGTTCAATCTGGTCCTCTGGACATTCAAAACAACAAAACAAAGCAAAAAGAAGTAGAAACTTTTCGTCTCTCATCCTGAGGACTTCCTCAGTCTGAGGTGCTGTATTCAGCTCAGTCTCTTAAATAGCACCTTCA